CTTAAGACAGAGCAAAAGGGGGAGGAGGCCCCGTGGTTCCCTTGCCTTCCCAGCTTCCCCACCACACGCTCCGATCTCTATTTACCAAACATGCGCAGTTACCTGGTTACCGCCACCCAGCATTTTGTTTTATGTCTGCTTTTTTAAGTTGACAGTTTCCATGCTGTTCCTTTGCGGTTTTAATGGCCCGTGATATTCTCTCACACTTACGTGCGATAATTTACTAACCCGTCCCCTTTCCTTGAACCATTAGGGTTTTTTTTTAAGTCATAAATATTGTTGTAGTGAACATCTTTGCACATAAAGCTAATGTCCCTTGTTGGATGTATTTCTCCGGGCTGCAGTCCCAAGAGTGGGATTACTGGGTCAAAGAGCAGAAACATATTATATTCTTCTCTCCCAGCGACCATCTCACCAGCTTTATTTCTGAACAGGTGACGCTATATTTATTTTTAATACAACTTGGTGGTTCCTTGGAACTTGTCCCGAAACTTCTCTCCCTCTCCCTCTCTCTCTCCCTCCCTCTCTCTCTCTCTCTCTCTCTCACACACACACACATATTCACACACAAATTAGATAAAGTCACTTAATGTTACTAAGGTTTGGAGTTCATTATGTAAGTCAGAGACAGAAAAAAAAAACCCTCTGTGAGGTCAAACAGCATCCATTTCTGGAAAGCCGGGAAAGATGGTTCTTTATGTGTCCCACCTGGTGGTTTAAATAACTTTACAATTTCCCTTAGAAAATTATTCCCATGGAAAATAATTCCCTTAACCGCCTGACCTTTATTGGCTGCTGTTAGCCTGGGGCAGCACTTTGTTTCCAGCTGTTCTTAAAAGCCACTTGGACAGCATTTAACCCTTTGAAGGCCCACGGGGTGGGGGTGGGGGGTAGACTGGGGGTGGAGGGGTGTGCAAGGGCAGGGGGATGGGAGGGGGTTACTCAGGATTAGGAAGGGGGGGAAGGGAGAAGAAAGGAATTGTACCTCTGTAACCTGGGAGCAGCTGTGGCATCCTACAGACGCCAACCCAGAGCGATAAACTCCGAGGCTGAAACACCCGAGCATCCTCAGCTCGCTCTGTTAGTAAGGGTAACAGTTTGGGAAGCTGGGAGGCCTTAGGTTCCACCATGAAGGGCTGCTGGTCAAGAATGCGGCACCGACTTGGCAGGGCTGGTATCGACGCTCCTGAGGACTCCGCTTCCCAGAAACAAGTTTTGAACTTTAGGGGTTGTGGCCCTTCTTAGATGTCACCTAAAATGATCCAAGCGTCCTTCTGGATTAGTGGCACTCTGTAATACGATGTTTTGGATTGTAAGATACAGAACACGCAAAGCTGACGAGCTTCAGAGTTTACATGTCAAGGTGGAGAACGGAATTAGAGCTGATGCCTGGCAGTGCTCGGTGCAGAAGCTCCACAGCCATCGGGGACCTGCGTTTCCCCTCCCCCACTCTCCACCTGCAAAGCTAAACAGCTCCGCACGTGGTCTCCAAGTGGGGGTGGGAATGCGGGGGTGGGGAACGGAACACATGTTTGTCATTCATGCCTGACCAGAGCGGGAGGTTCTTTCTTTCTCTTAACCACAGAACCTAAATCTAGACTTTACCGTGACTTAGGTCCTATCTTCATTTATCAAAATCCAAGTGTTGTGCTGGGGTTACGGAACTATGTTGAATAGTGAATCTTGGTTTTAACTATGAAAAGGCTTCCTCAGAGGGCTGGGGCTGGGATCTGATCCTTCCCTCTCTAAATGTGTGGGGGAAGGCAAGCCAGCCATATTCCTTAGAATTCTAACAACCTCTCAGATAAGCCTTTGCTTGTACCACGTAATGTCATGAACTGGAAGGGAGCAGACTTTCCCCCAAAATAAGCGGAAATTTGGAGCCATTGCTCCTAATTCCTGGGAAAAAAACAAAAAACAAAAACCAAACAAACAAAAAACCAGACAAACAAAAAACCAGGCTCTATGCATGGGCATTCTTGCAGTCGAGACGAAATAGACTGATCTACAAGTAAATTGTAACGGGAAGCAAGGCTAGTGGAGAATGCAAGACAGGCAGAGATGTGGGTCCTTAGTCAACCAATGAGAGGCAAGAGGCACGACTTGATGTTTTCCCCAAACCTCTCCTAAACTAGGTAGCCGGTGGGTATTTGCTGAGATTTGTTGAAACATTTGGTTGAATTCCAGAGTGGAACATTCACGTTTTGGGACTAGACCAAACGTGGTGTGAATCTGAAGCCTTAGGGCTCCACCTAGACGACCTTTTCAAAGGTGACAACAGAGGTCAAGGGTCAGGGCCACCGCTGTAATGGCAAGTGCTAGCTCGTGGGTATTGGTTTATGCTTTTGTAAATAGTGTGCTGTTTACTGTCCGCGCATTTTCAGTTTTGCATTTCAAATAGAAAACCAAAGGGAGGTGACTAGTGGGAGGCTGAATGGCAGCTCTGAACGGGTTTGAAACTTAAAACCATACTTATAAAACGTAGCTATAGGGGGCATTAAAATGCCACATCAGGGGTGGTGCCAAGATGGGAGGGAGCCAGGGAGAAAGACGGAAGAGTAGGGTGTGAGGCTGTCGCTGGTGCGCAAGTATGTGAGCTTGCTGACTTGGTGGGGAGGGGCTTGAGGTAGAAGGGACAAGGCTCAGGGCATCTTGAAGTCTGGCTAGGGAGCCCTCCTGGTCTTTGGAGTCCTAGCATTACAGTCAGATATGGACGTCTCTCTCGACTCTTCAAGGATCCCATCCAGGAAGACATTTCTTTTTCTCGGTCAGAGGTCTGAGTGCTTTCCTTTGTTGGGGGGGGGGGAGAGGCTGTTAGCTGAGGGAGCCAGTTGGTGGTGAGCTCTTCTCTGCCATCTAGAAGCCTCTGCTAGGTGCTAATAGTGAGCTCCAGCGTCAATAGGCATCAGGTGTGGCCTCCTGCCGGGTTATTTGCATTTTATAATGCACTCCTAGGAGACCAAAATTCTTCAGAAGACCCTTGAAAGAATAGAGCTTTGGAGGCCGAGGTGAGCCCTGCCTGGGTTAGGAGAGGGTGGGTGGAGATAGGGGCTGGGGTGGGAAGTTGATTTAAAATTTCTCATCTTAAATCTGCCCCTGCCCTGCTCTATCAAAGGGCACCAAAGGCTTTATGGCTCATTCAGATTTTTCAATCATAGGGTCCTTGTGTGGATGTGTAGGAATTTTTTTTTTAATTTTAATCACAATAATTCTCTGTAAGCTAACTGGAATGTCCTTTATCTAGACAGTGTGATGTTATTGGATACACTTGAGATTGTAGCAGTAGAATATAATGTGTGGAGGAGCCAGGAGATTAGGGGACTCCCCGAGTCTCTTTAGTGGTGTGAGGTTACCAGCCCCCACACTGTCACACCCTCCACCCCCCACCCCCTATCCCCCAACTTTTGTTCTTTCATTTCCCATCCCACATCTCCACAACAGGGCCCAACCCCAAACTCAGCACCGAAACTTCAACAAGCAGCTGAGACTAGTCTGGCTTGTTTTGGACTTTTTTTTTTTGGTGACTGGTATCAAGAGCTAGGGAGACAGCAAGGGCTCCGGAGGTGTCCTTCCTTCTGCATCTGCTGACAC